CTTTTCTAATAAACAATGGAATGAAGATTCTGTAAAATCTATTTTATTAGATTCTCTTAAATCAGCTATCGGAGATTCATTTTCACTAACTGACGATGACGAAGCCTCATTCTTTTCTATTGGTTTAGATTCCTTATCTGCAACTAAATTACGGGCTATTCTTCAAAAACAATTTCCGATTATCAACCTTCCTCATGATATTATTTTCGAATATAATACATTCCAAAGTCTTACTCATTATTTGATAAAAGAATTGTCAAAAATCAGCTCTTCACAAAGTCAAAATGCTGAAGACAGTTACGAAGCAAAATTACAGGCTCTTAAAAATGAAGTGAACTCATATATTCAAAAGTATAGTGCAACTGATAAATTCCCTCCTGTGGATAACTTTGATAACTTTGATAAAATTAATGGAATCGTAAATGAAAAAAATGGTGAAACGGTTCTTATAACAGGTGTTACTGGATCTCTTGGATCTTTTATTCTCCGTGATTTATTAAACAATCTAAGTGTACTTAAAGTTTACTGTTTGGTGAGAGCTTCAGATGAAAATCATGGATGGTCTCGATTAAAAGATTCATTTGAACAACGTCATTTAGATTCTTCTTTATTATCTAAAGAACGTATTATCATTTTACCAAGTGATTTGGGTGATTCGAAGTTTGGACAACCCGAAAAGATTTATTTAAAACTTGTACAAGAAGTAACACAAATTTACCACGTCGCTTGGAGATTGGATTTTAATAATAAAATTCAAGTTTTTGAACGTGATAGTATTGCTGGAACCGTTCATCTTCTTATGCTCGCCCGTGAAGCATATACTCATCATCAAAATGTTCATTTTAATTTTACATCAAGTATCAGTACAACTGTTAGATCAAAAACAAATGTTAAAGAAGATGAATTACCTCACAATATTTCAAATGCAATGCCTAACGGATATGCCTTATCTAAATTCATTACTGAAAATGTATGTGCTGAATGGTCACGAAAAATTGGGTTTAAACTTGATATTCATCGTGTTGGACAAGTTTGTGGTGATTCTGTTACGGGTGTTTGGAATACTCGAGAACATATTCCACTTATGATAAAAGGTGCACAAATTATGAAAATTATGCCGAATTCATATTCCTCAAATGTTGACTGGATTCCTCTTGATATCGCATCACAAAGTATCGTTGATATTTCCTTAAGTGCACCTTTTACTAAAGATGGTGATTATATTCGAGTTAATCATATAGTTAATCCGAAGCAAGTCACATGGAACGAATTCTTAAAATCTTTACAACAAAGTGGAATAGATTTTAAGATTGTTTCGAATAAAGAATGGTTGAATACATTATTAAATACTCCCGAATATCAGAATGTGGATAAAAATCCGGTAGCCGCATTATCAGGATTCTTTGAAAAGGTTATGAGCAAATCATTGGATAAGAGTGAAAGACACGGACCCTTATTTGAAACACATAAATCATCAAATCGTAGTTTAGCACTTTCTAATTGCCAAAAAATTGATGCTAGATTAATCAAGTTATATATTAATAATTGGAAAAGGATTTCATTCTTAAATTTTTAAGTTAGTATCTTTTATTAATTTTATAATTAATTATTAATGTAAAAATTTAATAAAAATAAATTTTGGATTTATGCAGATTATTTTCATTATTTTCATTTCTTTAATAGAATTATCTTTTACTAGTAGGGTTGTGTTACATAAATTACAATTTTACAATGAGAAATGATTTGCGTACATAATTTCGTGTAACATCGCGTACATCAATTTTTTCTATTGGTCAATATTAAAGTCGAATTTCAAGTGACTAATAAATGCTACGATTTTATTGGCCAAAAAAAATCGATGTACGTTATTTCACGAAACTGATGTACGCAAATCATTTCTCTTTTACAATACATGTAATTTTACGTAAGTTTCAGTAAATAAGGCATATGTGTGTGACTATATAAAATTAGGTGATATATCAAAGTGATGTCATATGACATTTAAATTATATAGTATATATTATAAAAACTGATAAAGTAACGGATCAATTTTGGATCATTTGTGGTCTTTTAGTATTAGCTAACCTGTTCGGTACACCGCTCATAAATACCGAAAAGTAACGGATCAGTTTTGGAACATCCTGGGTTATTTTTAGCTGATCTGTTCGGTATCATAAAAACTGATAAGTAACATATCAGTTTTGAATCATTCTGGGTTATTTTTAGCTGATCTGTATTGTACGTTGCTCATAAAAACTGATAAGTAACAGATCAGTTTTGGGTTATTTTTAGCTGATCTTTTCGGTATACTGCTCATAAAAACTGATAAGTATCTGATAAGTAACTTATAAGCAATTAATAAGCATTTTACAATCACCGACAAATAATCACTTTTAATATTAGTAATCACACTGTATCATATATATTATTGGCTCAATTCTATTTAATCTCATCATTCAACATATAATCACAAGCTAATCACAAAATTGAAGATATCTGCCCATGTGGTTTCATGTAATTTTCGTGAAATACCAGCTTTACGAAAGAACGGCCAACATTATGCTAAATATATAATCCGAATTGTAACTCATCAATCACCGAAAATTTGATCTCAGAAACTAATATCTTGTGTTCAAAATTGCAAATTACATGAAAAACTAATTTACGGAACTTAAAGTAAAATTACATCCCTACATACTACAGTAGGTCTACCAGCATAATAAATCAAATAATAATTTTTTT